GGTCGAACAATTATATTACTTGCTAAATACCTTAAACAGATAAAGTCATATAAATACTATTACTAGGAAAGTGACCAAGAGAGATTAGTGGTTGCTTAAAATAGAAATAGAGCGTATAATTAACTCAACGCAATAAAATGTAAAAGAAGCAAATAGTTAAGGCAGAACATAAACCATAAAAAAGTGGTAAATCTCGTTTATTTAATTAAAGATAATGATTCACCATAAGAGCATAAACAAAGAAATGCTTATGCCTTATTAACTATAAAAACACACTTTCACTTATTTGCCTTCTCCTTAGCATGAAGATTGTCAAAATAAGCCTTGGTGTTGGACTCAAATGCATCTCTAGAGATATTAGCTGAACCACCAGAACCTGGTGCAACCATGTTCCCTGGACCAGAACCAGCAACACTGCTTGAACCGTTACTCTGTGCAGCAGAGCCTGGTTTCGCGCTAACGTCTTTCTTGTCCATTCTCTTTGATACCTCGTGAAGATGTGAGTTTGATTAATATGACTATGAGAGTGAAAATGAGAGTTTTGGTTTTGTAGTGAGAACAAATGTGTTACAGAAGTGGGAGAATTTATAGATGACAGTTTGTTATCAGATTACAATTAGTCAAACTAACACTTCCCAAAATTATTATTAATCACCATTTTGGTATAAAATCATATCGTGAAATGCATTTTTAGTTAATTGCAAGGAAAATTTAATTGGAAAATGGTAATTTGACTGTCTTGGAAAGCTATATATATATATTTTTTTTTTTGGCTAAAATCTTGGAAAGCTATACTTAGAATGACGTTTTATATGATTTTATTTAAATAAAATATTTCCGTAATTTGAATGTACGTATTTCAACATCTATTTCATATACGTACTTACTACTTTTCACACTTAATTACGCCATGATACAATACATTCAGCTTACGTGATTGAAATATGTAGACACATGCATGTACATATGATACAGTCATCCCTCTGTTGGGTGAGTTTTATGCCTTTCAATTGTTTGGATTAGTTTCATTATTCTTCTAAATATAAATGATGATCTTTGTTTTTTAAATATCATTTGCCCCAGCTCGAATTTAGGACGAAACGTTTTTTATCATCTTAGTACTTTTAATGCGTATCTTACGCTTTAATTTCATCGAAAGTTGTAGAGAAAATGCAAAAGCAACCTCGTGAGAAAAAGATTGGTTCACAAAATCAAAACATATAATCCATACGACAATGTCCTACTAATTAAAAGCACCATAACCATTGTCTGAAAGATTCCAAAACATATTTGAGAATTGAAGCAAAGAAGAAACAAACTTAGAAGAGAGATGTTCCTTTTCCTTTCTTGTCTCCGCCGATTTCAAAATGCTTGCACCTCTGCAAAATCCACACACAATTGTAAGAAACAAGATTTGAGACCAATAAAGAGTTTTGACACAAAAAAAAAAAAAAAGATTAGTCTCATTTTACCTTAATTGGGTGTTGAGAAAAATGCTTGCAGGTTTGGCATTGAAGCCTCAGGACAATCTTCTTGGTTGTCTTAGCCTGTTCGATAATAAATAATCAGTACATTTGAATTAACAGATCATTCGAAAAAGATTTCATATAATGATAGATCTCGAGATATTTTCCACAAGGTCATATTATCGACAAACAGTTTCTAAACTAAAGAGTAGATGGTTTCCTATGGTGGTTCCTAGAGGGCAAATAGTGCTTAAGGAAACTCGAATCTGGTTCTACATATTGAGAGGGGTTGGTTTTTTAGTTACCTTCTTGTGGAAGACAGGCTTGGTCTGACCACCATAACCAGATTGTTTACGGTCATAACGACGCTTTCCTTGGGCAGCTAGACTGTCTTTACCCTTCTTGTACTGTGTCACCTTGTGCAAGGTATGCTTCTTGCATTCCTTGTTCTTACAGTAAGTCTTCTTGGTCTTAGGAACGTTCACCTACCATTCATAAAACCAACTTTGAGTTAAAAACTTCCTCAAGAAATGGTTTCAACAACATACAGAATTGATTGCACTCAAACAGTAAAAGACTCATAAAGAATTAACTTGCATCAACACAAATGAAGATACAAAAACAAGTGCATAACACTAAATCATTTCAATTCTCCTTCAAATCTCAAAATGGTAGAGACGAAAACTAAACCCTTTCTCAGAGACAACAGTTAATTAAACAGTAAATCTTCAAACGCTAACAAATAGTAACAGATTCGAAATGAAGAATTAGTCTCTCTAATTCTCAATTAAAGCAACAAAAACAAATCACACAAACAGATCTATCAACAACATCTTCGATTCCTCACAAGTAAACATAGCTCTACGAAACATCAAGTCTCCTCCTAAACTACAAGAAATTAAGCATAAATCAAGAAAGATAAGAGAATCAATCACCATTTTCGCTCTTCGGTGAAGCTCGTGCCGTCGTCTTCCTCTGCCCAAAAAAAATCAGCAATAAACGAAAGGAACAGAGTTTATAATAGAAAGCTTTAGAAACCCTAATGCCTTTTACATACAATCTTTGGGCCTCTATAAATATCAAAGCCCATTAATGTAATCAACGATAAAGCCCATAGTACATAAAATTTAAAAAAATATTCTAGCTGCCACAAAATAAAAAAAAAGGAAAAAGAAATTATTTCGCTGGCCCGTGCACATAAAACTAGCCGTTAAAGATACAACGGTTATGTTTCTTTCCTTAAAACTTTTGAACCTCGTGA